CAAGTCAGGTATTTAGGGTATCCATCACATCACCTCAAGTATCTATCCTTTCTGTGTTGGCAACATCTCGAGTCCTCTCTTCTAGCTACTTCGAAACACACGATATATTGTTACAACACACCCAACACTTAAGAGTTAAGTTTGCCATTTCATATGAGCACAGTTAGTGGTGTTCCAAAATAACTACAATAGAAACATCAAAGATCACTTATCACAAGATCACCATAACAGATATAATAAAAAAAAATCTGTGAAGCACAATAAAGCAAAGTGCAATAAAATGAGGTATGTGTGTCCATCACTCAAGTGTGTACATGGATAGGAAGATTTGGCCCGTAAGGTGTCTCTCACCTGCGATCAATATGGTCTGAAATTTTCAAACTTCCTTTAGCTCAGGAATCCTGTTGTGGCAGCCTCTACTGATTAAGGAACCAACAGTCATTCCCTTCACTCCTCCCTTTCTGCCCTCCCACACCAAATCTCAAGCAACTATGAGCTTTAGGTAGATAGGGGTTTTCTTCAGACCCAAAGACCAAAGTTGAAGAATCCTATCCAGGTGTTGAATACAAATGCCTGAACCAACATCTAGATGTTAGTGTTAGTGTCTTAAATAAATGTGCCAGAGCCACGGCTGCCTAGGCACAGATTATACAACCAGCTTTCAAAAGGGATTAACCTCGACTTAGGTGCCAGGTAAGTCAATACTCCATCACCACATTTCTAATAATTGTTTCAAGACATAAGTGTCAGAGACTGGGTAAGTGAGATCCAATTGCAGTGAGGATGAAAGATAAAGACACAGCTAATCAAGCACGCACACCTCTTTCCTGAAAGAATGAGCGTAGAGGACCAGATTCTGGCTACAGGGAAACCCAGCTGGACCACCTTAGCAGCAGTCATGATAAGACAGGTCCAAATTTGTTTGTGTGTTTTCGTTTGCTTGCTCATGTTTTAATGAAAAAAAAAAAGATATTTCCTGTGCTTTCTGTGTTTTTGAAGATTTTCAGCATCAAAATCTTAATTGCTTTTGTTAGAAAAATAAACCATGAATATTTTAATGGTGCAAACTTTGAATTTGATAACTATTGCTCCTAAGACTATATGAATTTCCCTTGAAATATGATATATAAAGTTATATATATGTACATGCATATATATTTTAAAAGAACCAGTAGATAGCATAGTACTTCAAAGAAAAAAAAATGTGAATATTGATTTTTTTCCCCTAATGAGATATTACCTGGGAACCACAGCCAAGGTGAGACTATTTAGACCACTTGATCATTAACCTTTCTCCATATGTAAGTTCACAGACATCTAACTATAGAATGTGATTGTTATATCTAAAGGGTCCTCAAGTCTAATACAAACCCTTATTATAAAAATGAATATGTCTATCTTATTCCTAAAGTACTCCAAAAGTTCTTAGGGTATCCTGTTCCCATGTTCAGTCACAACCACAGGTCATCAAGTCTTCCTGTGTGTTAAAAACAGACTTTCTCCTGATGCAGTCTAAACCCATTTTCTTCTGTTCAGTCCAGTGAGATGGAGAAGGTTGACTGGTGTTCTCCAGAGTTCCACCTCACTGTCCATAGCTTGTTAATTTTGTCTCCCTTCAGCCTTCTCTTCTCCAGAAAAAACAACCCACCTCCCTTCCTTGTGTACACAGTCTCCAATTCCTGTCATCATTTTCCTCTTCTATACGTGGATTCTATGCAATTTTCCCGCATATGTTTTAAGTTACAGACCCAAAGTGTAATATTCAAATTAAAGCCCAACCTACAATAAATTTGACACAAGAGTTATTTCCTAGCTGCAAATAATACTCGTCTTAACACAGCCCAGGATAATATCACTTCCTTAATGCCATCACTAGGTTAATGACGCATATATTTCTGGAATGCCAGATCTTCTGCAGCCAAGTTTGTGTCAAATTATACCCTCTATCTAGACCCTTCTCCTACCATCTATTCTCCAAAGGAAGTCATTATTAATAAATTTACATTTCATTCCTTCCAGTGGTTTCTACTTTAACTTCAAATAAATAATATGCCTGCATCTCTCTCTCCTGATTTTTCAGTCTTAGGTAGTCAGTACCTACTGACTTCTCTGCATGAAAGATGAAGAATTTCATTCATTTATATGCCTTCCTTCCCTCTCCACCTGCTCCCCAATTTGGTTTAGCTCATGACTTTTTAGTTCTTCAGTTGGATAGATGTATTCATTTCTGGATCTAGCAGCTTTAGAAAAGAGTTATTGACCTTAATACTCTCCGATAAGAAAGTTAACACACCTCACCATCTCTGGACTTCTGTCAGGGTATAGTTCTATACTGTCAAAGTTTATAATATTTATATTTTGTTTTATAGATATTATGACTACTGATATTATGGAAATGTTATTTATTACAGACACAAGAAGAAAATTAATCCTATGTCACCAACTCATGCTATTCAAAATAGAATGTTCCAAGCATCACGGTCAGTAAAATGCATTCTCTTAAACTCTAACAAACTCTCAAAATCATGCCACAATTTAGTTTACTTGTTATTTGAGTCCTGGATTTTTAGGCAGTGCTATAAATACTACAACTGGTTACAAGCAGTTAACTTAATAGATAAACTTAAGAAATTTATCGGAAGGATATAAGGGTCACTCTCAACTGAAAGGAAAAGCAAAGGATTAATCATTAAAAGTAATGGTAAAAAATGCAATTACTTTTGACCAACATAAATACAAACTTTGAAGATCTTTATACTATGAAACGAGAGAGAGAGAGAGAGAGAGAGAGCTCATTACTGGAAAACGGCATCTTACTGGCCCAGCTTGAATCACAAGCTAGGGGCAGAGCCCCTCGACTAAGAGTCTCATCAAGGTTGCATGCAATGGTGAAGGATAGTTCTCAAAAACAAAATCAAGATGCTGTCACTGGAAGAATAGAATCAGGGTAGACAAAACAACGGCATTTACTGCTTCCAACAGCACTTATCACATTTTCATTAATAAACAATTTGGGTAATTTTCTGTTTGATATTGTCCTTCCCAACCAGATTCTGTGTTCTACAGAGGAGAAGTTACATAGAGCATTCATTCTCTTAATTCACATACCTAGTAGTGTCTGACAAGTTACAAGCACTGACTAAATAGCTCTTGAATATTGTTGAATAAAAGCCAAGGGCTTCCAGGATGTACTGCCTAGACTATTTGTCATAGACTCTTTGTATTAGTTTATTTTAATAACAAGTATTTTCAGATGGCTGAATTACATATTAAAGAAGGGACTACTCTTTCCAAAGGCACATTATCATGGAGAAGTACAGCCTAAATTTTCTATTACAAGTATTGTAAAAGAAGGGCACCTCTCCAAACTTTTAGATCATGGCAGGATACCATGATCTTGTCTGCATGCTACCCACACAACTGATGGTGTACAATCACCTGATCCAAAGATTGGCCACCAATTTAAATGTTCATTATTCATTCAGGGTGTCATAGTCAACAGCCTGGTGATCTTTGCAGTCAGGACTTGGTAATAGCACTACATAATACCTGGTCTAATATCTCCTCCACAAAGGCTCAGTCCTTCTCCTGACTCCTCTCCATGCCATCTTTCCCACTTCTTTCTTTCTTCTTCTTCCTCCTTCCTTCTCCTTCTTCCTTCCTTCTCCCTTCCTCCTTTCCCCCCTTCCTCCTCCTCCTCCTCCCTTTCTATCTTCTACATTTTTCTAGCTTCTACATTTTTCTCTGTGTTTCACTGGCAATCCTCCTCCCTCTGTGTTTCACTCCCCCCATCCTCCTTCCCCCTCCCCCGCCCTCCTTCCTCCTCCTCCTCCTCTTCCTCTTCCTCTTCCTGAGACAGGGTCTTGCTCTGTTGTTCAGGCTGGAGTGCAGTGGTGCAATCATAACTCACTTCAGCCTTGATCTCCTGGGCTCAAGCGATCCTCCTGCTTCAGCCTTCCATGTATTTGGGACAACAGGCATACACTATCACACCTAGCTAATCTTTTTTTAATTTTTTTTTTAAAGAGATGGAGTCTCACTTTGTTGCCCAGGCTGGTCTCAAACTTCTGGGCTAAAGTGATCCTCCGAAAAATGCTGGGATTACAGGCATGAGGCATGGCACCCAGCCCTTGCCTACTTCTTAACAAACTGGGAGATAGTTAGTTATTTACAAACCTGCCTCTCCAACTAAACTGTGGATCCCATAAAAGAAGAAAGTATGTTCGATTCATCTTTGTTTCCCCAGTGCCTAGCACAGGGCTTGGCAAGTAGGAAGTATTCATTAGATGTTTACTGAATCTAAATAACCACCAGGAGAGGAAGTCTTTGACAAAAAATGCAACGAGAACATAGAAACACCAGTGCAGACTCTAAAGAGGAAATATTTTATCTTCATCTAAGAAAAAAGCCCCACCCTCACCTCAAATAAGGAAGGAAAGAAGGAAGGAAGGCAGGGAGGGAGGAAGGAAGGAAGGGAGAGAGGGAAAAAGGAAGAAAGGAAGGAAGGAAGGAAGGAAGGAAGGAAGGAAGGAAGGAAGGAAGGAAGGAAGGAAGGAAGGAGAGCTTTAGTTCTCTAAGCTGTAGAGAAATTTTAAGTTCTTTTTCATGGATTAGTCAGAGGGGTCTAATATCTCTAAATCAAATGATCAAATGATGACAAAAGAAAAAACAAAGAACGCAGAAATTATCCTCTTCCAAGGTTTCATTCCTTTATGTCAATCAAGAAAAATGTTAATAAGGAGGGTTTGGCAGGGGTCAGTAATTCCTCACTGATGTCACAAATTTAGCTTCACTTTTCAGAGGCTGTTCGTGGCCATGCTTGTGAAATCTGTAATTCACCTCTAGACAATAACTAATTATTACTGATTACTATGAAATAAGTCAACAAAGATTTTCCTGTTTACATTCTTATCAGACTGTATCAGAACCATCTGTTTTCAAGTTTGTTGTTGCTGGGTGTTTTTTTTATCCCAAGGGATAGATTCTCCACATTGTTCTCTGAATATATGCATGCAAAACTGCCTTTTAATGCACAGTTGCAGTTTTCACTAAAACATTTGGGTAGGGGGAAAAATCACATATGTTTTTGTGAAAGTAGATGATAATAATTAGGTATCTCGCCGAATTTATTCTATCTTCAAATGAAGGATATGTTGGGGTCTGTCCCATCTCTAATTACCATCTCTTCATCTGCATGGGGTGACTACTGATTTTGCTAAAAGTATATATGTGGAGCTTCATGACACTAAAGTAACTTCAACCTGGAAAACACAGTAAAGGACTCTATTAATATGAGAGAGTCTACAATTTTAAAACAAGCAATATGTGACCCCTTTGCTCCATTGTTCATTGACACCAATCTCCTGTGATACAAGCAATAATTTTGTTCCATTGTTAAGGAAGCAAGAGTGTAAGATTTTAAATACTGGTACTCACCAAGTTGCTACATGGCTTTGGGCAAGCAATTAACCTTTGGTGTCTCAGTGACTTCATCTGTAAAATAGGGATAAGGATTTTACACAGGTGTGATGCCTGGACTAATTAGTATAATTATCATTATTGATGGGAAAATAATGCTGGTCGTTGATATCACATCTCATGTTAGCACCTGGAGAATCACATATCTTCTCTATGTTGACTCCATTTTATAGGAGTCTGTAAAAAACAATGATGACAAAGGCTACATATGAAAACTGGGACAATACAGTTAAAAAGGTCCGTATCCACATAGGCTCATATCCTTAATGGATTATTTTTGAATTTGCATTTATCATTTAGATGCTTTCTAAAGTTAAACTGAACACATAAACTATGAAATTACAAGGAAATTTTTCAAGGCCCACATTCAATTGATAAGCTTCCTTGCAGCAAAATGCTTTCCAGTTCATTTGTAGGTAACACCATGAGCTACCATAGAAGTTTAGGGTTGAGTGATAGAATTTAGGGTAATCAAAGTCAAATAAAAGTATACACTGAAGACATTGCTCATATAACATTCCAGACTCCCCACTTCTCTGTGTGTATGTGCCCCAAAAGAACCCCAGCTCAAACAGTTAGGGACCAGGACAAACAACTGAGCTGCATGAGAAGTCAACTGTGCAAGACTGGGGTCATTGAAGCTGGGGACAGCAAGGTGTCCTTATGCCACAGCATGGGTAACAACTCATGGGGCAAGGAAAGGGACATGCTGAGAAAAACAAAAATGGCATTTCTCTTGGGGCTTATCTAGGACGCCTAAGTGCACTTATGATTCCTAGGTCAGGATGAAATAACTGCTTTAAAAAAAGATTACTTCTACATGTTGGCAAAAGTGCCAGTGAAACGCAGAGAAAACTGTAGAAGATAATGCTCAAAAGATCAGTACTCAACACTATAACCTCTGTATCCCTTACCATAGATTTATGTTCTTTCTAGGTCCAAAATGTCTTCTTTTGGCTTTAGTTCCTCCCAGCAAAAAATTCTCTTTACTTGAGCTCAGTGGATGTCAAGCCTCAAATCTCCAACGTCTCCAAAGAAGTAGCCCTAAATAAGCCTCTTGACAAGTCATTCATACTAAGGACCGTATTCTTTTCCTCTATATTTGCCTCAAAACTATGGGCAACAACTTCCAAATGGAAACGCTAAAGCTGTTGCAGTTTTCCTATTATCCTCACCTATCATATGAAACATAACAATTAGCATTTTTAGCAGTATTGAAACTGCTAACACAACTTCTCTATGTCTTACACCATTAAACTTGATGAGAAATCCCTTCATGATTAACATTCATCTCGCTGTATCGTGCTTGAAGGTTAATAATATCCACCATCTCCTGAGAGAGGGGGAGGGGAGCTTATTTATTAAATGAATAGCAGAGTGAGGCAACCAGGAAAGGAAATTCCCCCCTCAGTCCACTAGAGGGTGGTTTGGCAGAGCCGAGGGAGGACGGCCGAGGCAGAGAGGCACCGACAGCTTCCTGTCTTGTTCGCCTGCACTTTAGTTAAGAAGATGCAACATTAGTATTCATTGCTTTCTATTCCTCACCCTGGGTAGGCTTTCATTTCTATTAGAGACACTTTACGAATGCCAGAAGTCAGTGTTGACTGGGCCATGACATGGTGGGGGAAAAAGAACCTATAGAGTTAGACTGCTTAAAATAACATCCGGTCTAATTCTTCTAAATCAACACTGGGTGAGATAAATAGATATGTATTAGCAGATCCTAAGTTTAAAACTTTCATAGATTATGTAGCAGTATGTGTGCACTTCAGATACGGATGTGGAGTGAATGTTGCATGTACATTATGGGGAATTATACATAATGCATAAAGAAATGTACCTAGCCTTTAGCACACCAGCTGTTTCTGCTTATAAGCCTGAGTTACCTATGAAATGCAGTAGACATTTTGTAGTAAATATCCTACTTGATTGACTTTTTTTTAGGCCTAGTCACCTATGCTGATTTATAGAATTTAGGAAGAAATATAAATTTTAGCAATGAAAGATGGAATTTTAAAATTTCTTGTATGAAAACATGTTGTGTTCTGAGAAAGAAGAGATGAGGAATTAGCCTGTTTTGGTGGTCTCTACGTAGGTGGTAAGGCAAAAGAGAATACGTTTTTCCTATCTGTAATATTGTTCAGTGTAGCAAACCCTTTTGCTTGTTACAGTACAGCAAATGGAGTGTTTAATTTGGGATTCAATGTAGTCTAGAGTCAAGGTGCAGCAGTTTTAGTACAGAAATACAATTTTATTGGAGGCCGAAGATTTAATTTCCACCTTACGTAGAGAGCCATAAACGGCATGCCTGTTTTACATTTTGCATAGTATTTGATATATGTAATTCCTGGCCTAATTTTAGAGTTTCAAAAGGTGGAAGAATCACAATACGTAGATTCAAATTCTTCAACACTTCAGCCACAGATGACATTTTAAAATGAGCAATGTTCTGTTTCTTACTCATGGATTTGAAACCTTTGCTTCGCTCCCCAGAGCTCTGCACCACATCCTTTCCAGGTATTCCTAACTAGGTGAGCCACAAAGCCACCTAAAGGGCGCCCTCATGTTGGAACAAACACTTCCTTTGTTTAAATCTGTCTACTAGATGGCATTCTACTAAAACCTAAGATGATCAGACGATATGGATAGCTTGCCATCAGTTGTGCCTAGTATTTGTCAGGGTCATATATGTTAGTATCTGTTCAGATGTATGTATTTTGAATAAAATAATTTGTAAACATATTGGAATGACTGTGAAAGAAATAATCAAATAATGTTAGCTGTAAGGCTGTATCCACATTGGAATCCAAATTTGGAGGATTTTGTCATTCTCTTTCCTTCAAACATATTCATTATCGGACACACACACACAACACACACACACACACACACACACACACACACAAAATGTTGCTCTTCCATCTGTTTGCCTTTGCATCATTAGTTCTCTTTATCAACATTTCATACCTCCTCTTTACCACCAGGTGGAGCCCTTTGTTTATAGACATCTGTCCATTTCCTTTTTCTCAAAGATGCTACCAGATAAATAGCTCCAGAGCTAAAATACTGTTGCAAACACGAAAATTTAACACACAGAGATAAAAAAGTAAAGCTTTTCAGGCATTGGTATAATAAACCTTGCTTTGAGTCCTATTGCTACTAGATTTAATGGCTTACACATTTTCCTATTTACAACTCCTGCACACCAAACAGCAGAAAATAATATTGTTGCGTGTGCCATAAACAGTGTTGCTGCAGGTCTATTTTATGTAGTACTATCATTTTTATAATCTCAAATGTTTGGCAACTGCAGTCAAAAAAAAAAAAAACCTAACCAAATACTATATGCTGTAAGCTTCAGTTGTCTTCAGTCTTAAAAATATATACCTCATTGAGAAGAAAATGTTTTTCTTCAGACAAAAGAGAGTGGTAATTCAGCTGTAATAGACAACAATGTAAAAATCTTCTCTTAGTCAAATTCATCTCTCCTCAATTTGAGATCCAGTTAAGGGTACGTCAAAATCCATTTTAGCTTTGATTATATTTAGGAGCTAATTAAAACTGAGTATTATTAGCACAGCTACATTGCTCAATTATTTTCATATTCTTATTTTAAGAATTTAATCAAAGCTCTTCTCATGAACAAAAAGCAATAATATTTTTTAAATTGGAACCCCAATTTGCATGTGCAAATAACTGTAGAATGAGCTCACCTAAACTATCTTGCCAGTGACCTCAACTTTGATCTGGAAAGATCGTTTATGCACAAGTAAAACATTCACATTCTCTATGCTAATTCTGTGTTGGATCTTTTCTCAAGGTAGTTTACTTATGGCAACGTTGGAAGGTCTTTTAATAACATATGTATTTTCTAACACCACTGAATTATATATTTAACTGGAATATCATTTCTGTTCCATTTTTTATTTTAATCAGGATTTGCTCCCTTTGTACTTATATATGTAAAATTTTGGTTAAGCATCTGCAAAGCAGTGAGTGGAAGAAGATTTGTGTACATGGTTTATTTAGTCAGTCTCCCAGCCTGAGAAATCTGGCTTTTCTATCGGTATACAAACTGGTTCTTCAATCAGAGGCTGAATGTGAAGGAGTCCTTATACAACAAAATGCTGGAACCACCATTTTGCCGTCTGCTCGCATACAATAAAATGGTGGCACAGAAAACAGTTAACACATTGTGCCCATGAGAGTTGTCTGAAAGTATTCTACTCTCTAATGCAGATATCAAGCCACTTTTAAAAATACTGTTACCAAGTGGCTAGACGTATTTGCTTATGTGTGTAATGCATGTGTGTGTGTGTGTGTGTGGTGTGTATGAGATGCCAGAAGAATTGGATGTGTACATTTGACGAAAGGATAGAAAGAACTAGTCAAAAATTAACACTCAAGCTGAGAGTGAAAGCAAACCTACGTAAAAGCACAGGTCCTGCAAATTGCTTCTAACAGTTTACAAAAGCTGTATAGTGAATTTGGCCTTGATAACTCCTTTCATTTTAGCATTCACTGAAAGCAACTTTGAGCTAGGAAATTTAAGGGAGTTGGTATTCTTTTTATTTCTTTTTCTTTCCTAATGTCCTGTATAAATTAAAAGCAAGCCCTCAGTAGACTCTTACCTGCAAACTCCACGGTCTTGCTTTTTACAGAGGGGAAGGAAAACCGAGAACCACTCTTTCTTTCCTATTTTACTTCTGCTCTTATTTTTGTCATTACAAATGCTGCCTTGGCTCTTTTAAAGTGTGAAAATTCTCATTTTTCTGCAGTACTTCAGACTCATGCAGACTCCTTGGGGATACAGTGAGGAGCTAACCAACTGCACATGGGAAATGGGACTGTTCGTGGTTAGAAAAACTGCAGTCTTTGGTAATTTTCCACATGGAGTAGAAGTCATAAGTGACTTTTTTCTTTTACGTATAATGACTTTACTTGAGTAGTTGGTATAGAGTTGTAGGCTCAGGTTTGAACATGTGAATGCACTAATGTGTTTTACAAAATTTAAT